AAGATATGACAAAATAATAATTTCTAAATTATCAAGGGCTCATGAGGGAGTGGAGAGGGAGGGGAAAAAATGAGGAGCTGATGCCAGGGGCTTAGGTAGAGAGCAAATGTTTTGAGAATAATGAGAGGGCAGAGAGTCAAGGTTTTCCGATTGCTCAGCTATCAGACTGGACAGAGGTGCCAGGCCAGTGGAGTGCCAGTCACTTCACAGGCTGATGAGAGCCGGCTGTGTGTGCTTTGCTCTAAACTCACGGTCATGGTGGTACCCTGAAATCAGCCACAGTGGGAGAATTTACACCATGGAATTCACTTCACACACACACGGGGCTGCTTCTCCTCCCCAAGTGGCTGGGAAATACGCACCAGCATACAGTAGTGGAGGCAGAAGATGCCCGGGCACGCCACACAGAGGAAGAGAATGAAGGGCAGCTGTAGCCCCGGGGCTACTATGGGTTAAATGTTAGGCAGTTAACCAGGACGTTCAAACCCACCTACCACTCCACAAGAGACACGTGACCCTGTCCGCTCCAATAGAGATTTACTGTATCAGAAAGCCTACATACGGTTGCTCTGAGTCAGAATGAACGCGATAGCAGTGCCTTTGGTTTTGGAGGGTTGGATCCAATGGATAAAAGTCCCTAGGTCTGCATTTGATTATTATCCTAAAGTCTGGTATTCAAATCCACCCAGAAAAGGGGCTAGCTGCCTTAATATAAATCACAGCCAAAAAAGTCCCAGAGAGCAGCTCTATTCTCTATGGCCTTGAGTCACCCTAAGTCAGAACGAACGTACCTGCGACAGGCAGTACAAGCACAAGACGCACGTGCGGTGCACAGCGTAATGGGAACTGTGTTCCCCATCAGAGAACCACAGAGAAATCATATAGAAAGGGCTCTGCCAGGTAGGCAAGGGATTACCTGTCAGCTCATGAATTTTCATCTCATTCATGTTCTCAAAAGCCAACTTGATATTGACAGAACTGCTTCTAAGGAGAGCCTGACAAGCACTCCAAAGACATGACTCGGATTCAGTTAAACCAAGGAGTGAAAGGATGCCAATGATAATTTTCCTGAACGTGCGATACAGTGGTCGCAAAGGCTGAGATATACAAATACAAAAATAAAAAACAAAGCACACAGTGCCATCGAGTGGATGACGACTCACAGCGATCCCAGGGGACAAGGCAGAACTGCCCTGGGAAGTTCTTGAGACGGTAACTGTCTGTGGGAGTAGAGAGCCCCACCGTTCTCCAGCAGAGTGGCTGGTGGTTTCGAACTTCAGAACTTGCGGATCACTGACCCATGTGTAACCACTACACCACCGGGGCTTCTCTGGGAAAGAAAGATGGAGGGAGAGAGATACCTGAGAGAATACTGCATCAGTTGTACAGTACAGATGTGGTTGAGAGAGTTGACCTAATTTCTATCTAAATGCAAAGGCCAATTATAACTTATGTATCTGGTATTTAATTATCGAATATACCATTTGTATATCTGGTAGCTTTAAAATCACAATGTTTGCCTCTTCATTGGGTCAGCTATATCAACCACAGTTACTTATTATAAAAGACTGAATAACTATTATACAACAGATGGAATAGGTATGTTATCAGTTTTCCTCCAACTTTCTTTCTTTGGAGGTAAATCTTAGTGAAATGGTATGAAATCATAAACGAAAAGATAGTGAAGGTAAAGAAAATTTAAACAAGAAAAATAGAATATTATTTTTCTATTTGGAACTTCTAAAATCCCATTCCATAATGCTCTTTCATGTTTAGGAGTGCTGTGCCCAAACTATTTCAATGGATGAGCAAAAAAATTTTTTGTATTGTTTTATATTAAAAACATATCAATTTTTCAGTAAATGGTGCTAATGCAACTAGACATCTGTATGCAAAAGAATGAAGTTGGATGCAAACTCACATCATATAAATAAATTAACTCAGTGGACCAAAACCCTAATATAAGAACTAAAGCCATAAGACTCCTGGAAGCAAACAGCGGAGTAAATCTTCAGGACCTCATATTTGGCAAGGAATTCTTTTAGATGACACCAAAAGCTCAAGCAACACAAGAAAAAATAATAAAACTGGTCTTTATCAAAATAAAAAAGAACAAAAAACTTTGGTGCATCAAAGACATTATCAAGAAGGTGAACAGACAATCCAAAGAATTTGGAGACCACAATGCGATACCCTTTCACTCTCATTAGGATGTCTAAAAACCAACAAACTCCGGAAGATAATACATGTTGGTGAGGGGGTGGGGACATTGGAGCCCCTTTCCCTTGCTGATGGGACTGCAAAATGGTATGGTCATTGTGAAGGCAGTAGGGTTCCTTCCTCCAAAAACTAGATCCAGACTGACTGTGCAACCCAGCAATTCCAAGACTGGAAAGCAGAGGCTCTTTGGAAAAGCGACTTGTGCACCAATGTTCCCTGAAGCACAATGCACGCCATCCGAACGGTGGCAACTCCTAAATGCCCATCACAGAATGGATAAACAGAACGCAATACATACACACCATGGAAGATCAACCCGCAGAAGAAATGAAACGACGGTTACTAGGAAGAAGAGGGAGGCACATATTCGGAAGTGTAATAATTGAAAAAAAGTTTCACATCCAGAATATAAAGAACTCCTGGGTTCAACAACAGCAACAAAACCCAAAGAACCCAAATTTTTAAAAGAATGTGTAAAGGACTCAATGAGGAGGGTTAACAGTGTCCAGCAAACCACAAGGAGGACAACTGCACAGCCAATGATTGTACTTGTTAAGTTATACACCTGTAAAAAGTTGTGCGGCAGATGTATTTGCAATAGAAAACAAGAGTAGCTGCTTTGCTGTATAATTAAAACCAAAAATCTCATTGGCGTTGGCTCCTTGGTTTGGAGGTTTCAGATCGCAGTTTCCAGGCACAGCTCAGTTAACTGACCTAATCGCGTATTTCATGCTGCTGTTCCACGCCCTCTTTCGCCCTCTTTCGTTGCTTCATGTCAGGAGTCTGAAAAGTTTGCAGGTAGCCATGTAAGCCATGACAACCGATCTCTTTTCGCCAGCATCAGCAGACAAGGTAAGCGAGTCAGGAATGGGGAGTATGCGGCTAATTCCCTCCAAGAACTACACCCCTGTCAGGGGCATTTGTATGGGATAAAAGGAGCGCTGGGGGCATCGTGGGGTCAGCACTGGGTCTGTTGGGAGAAAGATGGGGCTGTCTGCTCCCATACGATTCACCTATGAGTTAGAATGAACTCCTCGTACGAAGTTTCTTTTGGACGTGGGATGAAAATGACAACAGTTACTCAACAAAGATTAGATAAGAACCTTAGGGGACAATGAATTTATAGCAACGGTGAGGGACAACTCAGAACAGGAAGGTGAGCATGACTACACAAAATGAAACCATAGTCAGCGTAAGTGAGTTATACATGTAGAAACCACTGATTTGGGACACTTTCCTGCGTACACTCTCAACCAAAACAAATTTTTTTTTAATGTTTGAAACTGAAAAAATACTTATTCATAAATCATCAAGGGTTCGTGAGGGAGGGAGGATGGGAGAGGGAGGGGAAAAATGAGGAGCTGCTACTAAGGGCTCGAGTAGAAAGCAAATGTTTTGAGAATGATGATGGCAACAAATGTACACATGTGCTTGACACAATGGATGGATGGATGTGATAAGAGTTGTACGAGCCCCCAATCAAATGATTTAAATAAATAAATAAAGCGCGGATGGATGGGGGAGTGACTTAAGCATTGGGCTCAGTGAATTAAGCTGCTCCCCAGCTTAATTAAAGATAGTAAGGGACATCTAAGCTACTGTATATGCTCAAGTATAAGCCGACCCAAATATCAACCTAGGCACCTAATTTTACCACAAAACTGCATTAAAAATGTGCGAAAAAACTCGGCTTATACATGAGCACATACAGTACTTTGGTCAATTAAAAATATAATCCTCTATGTATTCACAGGTCCCTTGCTAGCCTTACGTTTATGTCAGCTCTTAGCATTCGGTACCCCTGATCATTATATGCTACTTACTACAAAATCAGACTTGTAGGGTTGGCTTGGGTCGCTGCCCAAGCATTCGCACAGTAAAGCAACTAGAGTTCAAGGGGGATTATGGCTTTCCCACTCATTAAAACTGAATGAAGGGAGCGCCCTGTCAAAGACAGACAACAGGGAGCCTGGGTAAAACTAGGCAGTCCTTAGAGTTCTGGTTCACACAGGTTTCATTCACGGTCTATCATTGACAAAGCATTACAGGAAGGAACCCAATACAGATTAGTGAGCACCTATATACGTTAGAGAGCATGACGCTGGATTGAATTGTGGCCACCAACAATAGGTGCTGTAAATCCTAACCCTCTCTCTGTGGAGGGAGGACCTGGATGGTTAAGGCCATCAGAACCCACCTAGAAGACAGGCGTCATGATCTCCTTCCAAAAGACCCTAGCCTTAAGACCCCAATAAAGCATACCGGGCTCTGCCTACCGGGCTGACCACCAGTCAGAATCTATTTATAATAACTAACAACATACCCACAGGATGTAATTCCATTTGAGAATAGGGTTGGGTATTTTTTTGGTTACTTGATCAACAGGCTGTATCAGAGTATCATGCCTTAAGTCAATCACTTTTGAGACTGAATGTATATTAGAATAAAAGAAGCGTGAATGGGCAAAGACTGATGCCACTTGTCCATCACCAAGAAAGGTATGAAGTCCTGAGACAGGATTTGCCCTTTTTTTGGGTAATCGTTTTATTAGGGGCTCATACAACTCTGATGACAATCCATACATATATCAGTTGTGTAAAGCGCATTTGTACATTCATTGCCCTCATCATTCTCAAGGGTTTGCCCTTAGAACCGACAGAGCCTTCCTCAAAGCCCATACTGGATTTCTAGTCTCTTAAATTATGAGAAAAGAAATTTCTGTGCACTATAGGCATCCATTTGTGGTAATTCTATTATATCAGCATTAAGCAGCTATACAAACCAAGCCAAGCACCTCATGAACGTCATATGTACATGGCGTAAAAATCTCACACTAACCTTCTGAAGCTCTTCCAGTAATAGGCTTTGCACCTGCGGGACTGAAGCTAGATGAGTGTTCACTCTGACAGTGGTAAAAGATGGGGGGTGAGACAGGTGGTTTAACAGAGTCTCCAACTTTCTCTCAGCTGCTTCTTTGCCAGAAGACGTTACAACCTGAAAAGAACAAGTTAATGTTTTAATTTCACTGTATGAATTAATTAGGCAGATTGTATGTTTAACTTCACTGAATAAAACATCCATCTTTCAGCATTTCTTCAATTCCATTTTACTTTCCTAGGTTTTGGCGGCATTAAAAGAAAAAGAATGGTAATAAACCCCAAACAAACTCACTTCCCTGAAGTTGATTCCAACTAGTGACCCTATGTGACAGACATGAGCTGAAGCTACTTTTACGGGAGCAGAAAGCCTCATCTTTGTCTCATGGAGAGGCTCAAGGATTTGAACTGCTGATCTTGCAGTTACCAGCCCAACATGTAACCTACTACTACACCACCATGACTCCCCCTTGAATGGCAACTTGGTTAAACTGCCCTAGCAAAATGCCTGACATAGGAGCTTAGAAAAACAATACCTCAACTTCAAAACCTAATTAACGTTTTGAATCTCTTATACTCCTGTAAATTTATTCTACATACTGATAATGCATTATTTACCAGTATATCATTTCTGTAAAGCTATATTTACTAACATGTATCAAGGAGGAAACTTGCTAACAAGCTTTTAAAGCACACATGAAGAATAAGTAACATTGATACTCATCCAAAGATCGCCCTCGAGCAGTGGTTCTCAACCTTCCTAATGCCATGACCATTTAACACACTTCTGCATGTGGTGGTGACCCCCAACCATAAAATTATTTGCGTTGCTACTTCATAACTGTCATTTTGCTACTGTTATGAATCAGGCAACCCCTGTGAAAGGGTCATTTGACCCCCCAAAGGGGTCGCAATCCACAGGTTGAGAACCTCTGCCCTAGAGCGTGAGTTTTTGAATTGTATTGTTAAATGTAACCAAGTAGCGTTCAAAATCATGATAGGTAACAGAGGTATCTGTCAAAAATAAAGATATAAGACTCATGCAGCCAAGTACTCTAGTAATTCAGCTTTGCAAGACACGTCTCTTCTCACTTGTCATCTCATCATACCCTGCCTCCCAGAAACGTCATCAGCCACCTGCCAGACTCCTAATCCACTAGTCTATGAGGAAGAACACTTTCTCAGAGGGTAGTTTGCTTTTCTTACAACTATTCCTTTTCCTTTGATAACTTTCACCAAGGGATGATAGAGGTTGTTATTGTTGTTAGGTGCAATTGAGTGGGTTCTGACCCATAGCAACTCTATAAGCAAAACACGGCACGGCTCTGTGACATCCTCACAATTGTTCCTCTACCTGAGCCCACTGATGCAGTCAGTGTCAACCCATCTCATCAAGGGCCTTCCCCTCCTTTGCCGCCCTTCCATTTTACCAAGCATGATGCCCTTCTCCAGGCCTGGTCTTTCCCGACATGTCCAAAGTACGTAAGAGTAAGAAGTTACACCATCCTTGCCTTGAGGGAGCACTCTGGCCATACTTCTTCCAACACAGATCCTTTTAGCAGTCCATGGTACTTTCAATATTCTTCTCCAGCACAATTCAAACTCATCAATTCTTCTTCAGCCTTCCATATTTAATGACCAGTTTTCACATGCATAAGAGGCAACGGAGAACCTCATGCTTGAGTCAGGCCCACCTTAGTCCTCAAAGTAGCATCTCTGCTTTTCGGCACTTTAAAGAGGTCTATGCAGCAGATTTACCTCATGCAGCACATCTGCTGCTTTCATGAGCACTGATTGTGGATCGAAGCAAGACAAAATCCTTAACAACTTCAACCTTTTCTCCATATATCATGACGTTACTTATTGGACCACTTGTAAGAATTGTGACCCACTGGATTGCTCAAATTATAGAACAGCATTATTGATGCTAGAGGTGGTGTCATTAAAATATAGTTAACTTTCATGAGGGAGGGAAAAGCGGGGAGGGAGGGGAAAAATGAGGAGCTGATGCCAGGGGCTTAAGTGGAGGGCATATGTTTTGAGAATGATGAGGGTAATGAATGTACAAATGTGCTTTACACAATTGATGTATGCATGGATTGTGGTAAGAGTTGTATGAGCCCCTAATAAAATGATTAATATATATATGTAACTCTTTAAATCCATCCTCACTTTTTGAATTTGCTGAACATCCCATTGCTCTTTATATAGTATTAATAGTCTAAGTCTTTTAAAACCAGGAGATGTTATTTTCTTTTTTGCACAATTTTAAGTCTTGGATATATTTAGACTGCATAATCTTTGGCAACAAACCATAAAAGTCAAATCTAGAGGTCATAGCTTCAGTAATATCTTCAAAAATAAAATGTTTAAGTAGTTGTACTTTAATAGAAAGTCAAAAGTGGAAGGGCGGGGCACTTAGTGGCTTAAAAGCAGCACAGTCAAGTGGAAATAGCACAGGCCTTGCAGTGGAAGAGAATCAACATTTACTGAAGCCTTCGATACTGGGCACTGGCAGTAGCAAACAGAATAGGCATTGGCAAGGATTTACTATGAGCTAGGAACCACTCCAAGGAGCCTGGGTAGCACAGGGAGTTATGAATTGGGCTGCTAACCACAAGATCTGCAATTCAAATCCACCAGCCACACTGAGAAAGATAAGGTTGCCTGCTCTTGGGATCAAATCAATGGCAGCAAGTTGGTTTGGTTTAAGTTGCTCCCGTCAAGCCTCATAAGTTGCTGAGAGTCAAAACCGACTGGATGGTAGTGGATGAGGAATCAGGGCTTTTAGGTCTGTGTAGCAGCCCTAAGACAACTTTCTAAGAAAGGTCAAGTATAGTTTCCCATTCTCTTTTTCACAGAACAGGAAACAAGTCGGAAGGAAGAACCAACCCTTTGCCCAAAGATTGAGAAGATCTAAGATAAGGTCTGCAAATCACCAGTTACAGGGGTGGCATTTAAGCAGCATTCCATGATAGTATCCTTTCACATGAGGGCCAGAGCAGGCGTCAGAGTACCCTGAATCTCCTTTATTCAAGTTGAGTTCTAATGGGCATGGAACTTTCTTGTCTTTGCAAAGTTTTGTGCCTTGTCCATTGCCAAGGTTTTCCCTCCTTTCTCGTTCCTCAGTTTTAAACGTTATACCTCATTCACCTTTTATCTCAGAAAGCATGAATTAAATACCTGTAGAAAGATAATGAGTCCTGGGTGGTGCATATGGTTAAGGATGGAACACCAACCTCAAGGTTCCGTCCCACCCACAAGTACCTGGAATTGGCCCCAAACTGCACGAAAAAGTTCATGGCCTCCGGTAGACGCCAACAACCCTACTGGGCTTCCGAAGCTGTACATCTTTCAGGAAGCTGATGATGCCACCTCTTCCTCTTACACAAGAAGTAGTGTTCTTTACATTCTGACAGACTAGGAGGAGGGCATGAAGGCTGGTCAAAGGACCAGGTTTCCTTTCAACAGCTGTATTACCTGACCTACCTCCTTATTCATAAAGCCCTCTTTGAGATAGTTTTCCACCTCAGGTCTCAGAGAGATTTTAGGAAAAACAGACATTTTCCTAGTGTTTACGTTTCTTCTAGGACAAGCGCTGGACGTGTGTCCTTCCCAACCGCAGCGTGCAGGGTCTTGGGAACTGAGCGGCCCCTAGAGATGCGCGGGCCACGTGGACTCAAGCCAGGCAACACGGAACGCGAAGCCGGCGTGCACCCTTTCCGGAGCTCCGCCCGCGAACAAGCCGCTCCCTCGCCGGCAACACACCGCTCCCGCGTGCCCGTTCAGCGACGCTCCCGGAAGTCCCGGTGAGGCCACGCTGCTCGCGTTGCAAGAAGAACCGCACGAACAGGCGTTCGCAGGGGATCCGCTGCAAACCGGGCGTACACTGGATACCGAGCTGGCCCCGATCTCGCGGAAACTCCGTCCCGAACTTGCAGGTGCGCGCTCTCCGTTTTACTGCGGAGATCCGCTTCCTGGCTGCGTCACTTCCGGTAGCGGCTCATTTCCCGCCCCTTCCGGAATCCCCCCCCCCCGTACTGGGACGTCTCCGTGACGTCATCTCGGACCTGGGAGCGTGAGGAGGTAGAGGCTTTTGGGGAGGTTCTTTGGAGAGGGCGGGTGTGGGAAGGAAATGGGGACATCGTATGTGTATGTCGAATATATTACTCACTGTCATCGGTGGATCCGATTCACTCTCACGACTGCCCAGTGCCAACGAGTCATCCTGGCTGCTCATAGCGACCCCCATCTCCCGCCCCCGTGGGAGTCCCACACTGTTTACAGCAGTAGGAAGAGAAGAAAGCATCCGGTGGTTTCGAACCGGGACTTTGTGTTCACAGCCCAGGATGTAACCACTACAGCACCCGATTCACAGTGAACCTATCTAAGAAGGAGCAGAACTGTCCCTGTGGGTTTTAAACACTATAATTCCTTAGAGGGATAGAAAGCTTCATCTTTACCCCACAAAGCCTCACTTTTCTTCCATGTCGTGGCTGGTGGTTTTGGACTGCTAACCTTGCGGTTCGCATCGAAAGGCATAGTCACACCACCACCTGGCCAGCCTTCTTAGACATTGCTAACCAGAATAATTCCTGCAGGGTGACTTCCAAACAGAAGATGAAAACAGTATCTCAGCCACCTTTTGATTTCATGACTTAGAAGACACTTATGATTTACGTTGAATATGAACAACACGTACATAAATCGTTGCCTCCTTATCTTAGAATTTTAACTTCCACACCTCGTATTGGTTATGTGTTGGGATGCTAACCACAGGGTCAGCAGTTTGAAACCACCAGCAAGGACATGGGAGAAAAGTGAGGCTTTCCTCTGTAAAGGTTTTGATTCAATGTACCCCATTTTTTTAAAAAAAAATCATTTTATTGGGGGCTCATACAACTCTTATCACAACCCATACATACGTCAATTGTTTCAAGCACATTTGTATATTTGTTGCCATCATCATTCTCAAAACATTTGCTTTCTACTGGAGCCCTTGGTATCATTTCCTCATTTTCCCCGCCCTCCCTGCCCTCCTCCCTCATGAACTCTTGATAATTTATACTTAAACTGTCTTAAACAGTTTATATCTTAAACTGACCAATGTCTCCCTTCACCCACTTTTTAGTTGTCCGTCCCCCAGGGAGGGGATTATATGTAGATCCTTGTGACTGGTTCCCCCTTTCTACCTCACCTTACCCTTACCCTCCTGGTATCTCTACTCTCATTATTAGAGAGGTTTATCTGTCCTGGATTCCCTGTGTTTCTAGTTCCTATCTGTACTAGTGTACATCCTCTGGTCTAGACGGATTTGTAAGGTAGAAGTGGGGTCTTGATAGTGGGGAAGAGGAAGCATTTAGGAACTAGAGGAAAGTTGTATGTTGTATCAGTGCTACACTGCATCCTGACTGGCTCGTCTCCTCCCCATGACCCTTCACTAAGGGTATGTCCAGTTGTTGACAGATGGGCTTTGGATCCCCACTCCGCACTGCCTCTCATTCTCAATGATAAGATTTTTTTGTTCTTTGATGCCTGATCCCTGATCCCTTGGACACCTCGTATTAACATGTGCTTCTTCCATGTGGGCTTTGTTGCTTCTCAGCTAGATGGCCGCTTGTTTACCTTCAAGTCTTTAAGACCCAAGACGCTATATCTTTTTTTTTATTAAACATTTTATTAGGGGCTCATACAACTGTTATCCCAATCCATACACACATCAATTGTGTAAAGCGCATTTGTACATCATTCTCAAAACATTTTCTCTCCACTTAAACCCCCGACATTAGGTCCTCATTTTCCCCTCCCTCCCCGCTCTCCCCTCCCTCATGAGCCCTTGATAGTTTATAAATTGGTATTTTGTCATATCTTGCCCTGACGCTATATCTTTGATAGCCGGGCACCATCAGCTTTCTTCACATTTGCTTATGCCCCCACTTTTGGCTTCAGCGATCGTGTTGGGAATTTTTAAACCCCTCATTTGGTGGGCATTTTGCATGTTTTCATCTCTTCGCTGTTGTGAATAGCTCTGCAGTGCATACTGACATACAAGGCTCTTGAGTGTATGCTCTCAAGTCGGGTATATACCCAGGAACGGACTTGCTAGGTCACGTGCTAGGTTTTTGGGTTTTTTTAGCACTATCTTGTTTTCCACAGGAGCTCTACTACTTTGCATTCCTACTGGCAGAGATAAAAGTTCCCATTTTTACATATCCTTACCAACATCTGTTACATGTTATTTTGTTGTTTTCAGCCATCTTTGTAGTATCTCACTGTGGTTTTGATTTCCATCTCCCTGGTGGCTAATGATGTTGAGCAACTTTTCATGTGTTTGCTTGTCATTTGAATGTCGTTTGTGGTGAAGTGACTATCAAACATGTCAATTTCAGATGTTGTCAATTTATAAGCCCCTTCCAGCCATAATTCCACATTCGATGTATTGTTAATTCTGGCCTTTATATTGGTGGCTATGATCCCATTTTGGAGGGAGTTTTCTGCTACATGAATGGATCAGTTTAAGGTGGGATTAAGTCCTGACCTTAGTAGAGCATGCCAAGGCTGTCAAACCTTTTATTTCCTTGGGGGTGTGGTCTGCCAAAAGGAAAAAGCCACGCCTACATCAAAGCCATTCTGCAGGATACAAGAGCCATATCAGGCAGAGAGAGACCCGGGACCATCAGGTCTCTCCCATGGCAGATCTCTATCTGAAATGGCGGAGGTCAAGACCAGAGGCACCAGAGACACCAGTGAGAAGACAATGGGCTACTTTTCCTCATCTGGCCAGAGACATGGGACTGTGAGATACAGTGACAGGCGGTTTCAGTAGAAAACCCCAGCAGCGGCTCGTGTTTCTGAACTGCTGACCTGTTAGCAGTCCAACTCTTAACCTACTATGCCACAGCCTCCCTCAGATGAAGTTTTTTATTTTTATGAGACACCCATTACTTGTCTTTTGCTATTTGTACTTTTGTTATTATTAGGTAGTCCACTGTTTGAAGCCAGGCTTGACAGCATTGCCTTGTTTTAGGATGCAAAAAATACCCCATCTCAAATCTCATTTAAAGAGGACATTTATTAAGTTTTAAAAGACACAGGGACACATTTTCCTGATGAGGGAGGCCACCCACACGAGGTTGAGATGGCACCCAAGGGTTCATTGAGACACAAAACTTAAAAGGGCATGATCGGTGGCAGATCAATACATCAAAGTTAGAGGTAGGACTACAAATGCAGGAACGGGGCCATGATTGGGAAGCGTACATTAAGATTGAAGGGCTTATAAGATTGGTCCAGGGCAGATATGGTGTGAATCATGACTATTAACCCCCCAGTGCTACTCCCAGTATGTGACTTCCATCAAGGACCTATCTAGGCAACCCCCCCTAGGAGAGAGGCTGCCCTTCCCTGGGCTGGCCAGAGAGGGGGTGGAGGCAGTCTACTTTCTAAATCTAAGGCAGTGGTTTTCGACCTTCCTAATGCTGCTTGCTACCCTTTAATAGAGTTCCTCAGATTGTGGTGACCCCCAAACCATAAAATTATTGTTGTTGCTACTTCATAACTGTGATTTTGCTACTGTTATGAATTGGGCCCCCAAAGGAGTTGCGACCCACAGGTTGAGAACCATTGGTCTAAGGGCATTGTTTCAGGGTAAGATTGTCCACAACCTTGGTTTATGATCAGAAGGCATTTAATGGAGGCTTAATCTATGTGGGGACACTGCAAATTGATTTGGGGCAATCCCTGCCATCTATAGTGTTTTACAAACCAAGGTGCTCAGAATTTAAGCTCTAATACACCCTCTACTTGTTCTAAGAATGTTTTGGTTTTATTTTGCACATTTATGTCCTGATTTGGAATGTTTTTGTGAATGGTGTGACGCAAGAGTCCTGTTTCATATTTCTGCAAGTGAAAACCCAATTTTCCCATCTTTCACTGAAGAATCTTCTTTCCCTGCCAGATGGATGGAGTTTGTTTGTCTATAGCCGTTATTCGGAAATGTGATTTTACTTGTGGACTCTCAATTCTAGTCCAAAGGTCTATGGACCTATTGTTATACCAGTACCAGGTTGTTTTGATTATTGTAACTTTATAAAACCAAAAAGCCAAACTCACTGCCAGAGTCAATGCTGATTGTAGGGACCTTATAGGACAGAGGAGAACTGCCCCTGTGACTGACTGTTTCAGGGAGTAGGAAGCCTCATCTTTTCCCATGGAACAGCGGGTGGTTTTGAACTGGCTTTGAACTGCTGACCTTGCGGATCACAACATAAAAACCACCACACCACCAGGTTTCCTCTTTAGCTGTACAGTATGCTTTAAAATCAGGAGATATGATACCACTACTTGGCTCTTCTTTTTAAGCATTGTTTTAGC